GAATTATGGCCCTTTTTTGACTTAGAAAGTGTATTGAGCTTGGTTAAGTTTTTTGTACCACCTCACTTTATTTCAAAACCATTGGAGGTATTGCTTTGAAACTGACCATACTTGTTTACCATCACGACCTTCATCAACAGACAAGAGGACATAACTCTGTCAAGGTTTTTGACAGAATTATGCCCCTTTTTGACTTAGAAAATACATTGAATATGGGTAAAATCCACTTATTGCCTTAACCCTTTGAGATATTGCTTTGAAACTTTTAATGCTATTTCACATCATTACCCCCATCTGTACGCAAGAGAAGGTAACTCTGTCAAGGATTTGTTTTAAAAATTAAGGCCTTTTATCGACTTAGAATCTTGGTTAAGTTTTTAGTACCAGTCCACTTTTTGACTGAACTGTTTGAGATATTAATTTGAAAGTTGGAATACTTGTTTACAATCATGATTCCCAAACATGTCCAGGAGAAGGTAATTCTGTCAAAGATTTTATTTGAATTATGGCCCTTAACTGTCAATGTTTTGTATTATAGGCAAGCACTAAAAAACTTAAAAAATCTAAAAAAATTCATTCCTATCCACTTGTTCACTTTACCATAAATTATGTCATATAAACATTGCTGTAATATTCAAGGGTATCAAACAACTAGTTCACTTTAAAAATACAGAGATTCTTGTATTGCCTTTTACTGCAAAAACTTTTTTTATTGGCAAGCAATAAAAAAGTCGAGCGCGCTGTCTTACGGACAGCTCTTGTTTAACAAATAATTTTACCTTCAGCGATGATTTCTTCAGATGGATAAACATCATACATGCCCTTAAATCATTATTTTAATGTTATAAAGCCCAACTCAGTTGATATTTATTTAAACTTATGAATATATGTATACATTTATGTTGAAATGCTCATATCAAATGCCATCAAATTAAAATGCTTATGGGATATCACATTTCTTATTTTAGTCTATTTTGAAAATTTATAATTTTCTGATAAATATGATGATATGTTTTAATTATGATGAGTTAGAAGGTGGGCGATATTCCATGGTATAGGAGAAGTACAGTCTGACCAGAGCAGAGGTACAGTCTGAATTACTGTGATCAGTCAGAACGAATGTGACCTGCACTGTCAGGGAATCTTCCGGTATGGTTCTCCAGACAGTAGTCATTATCTTAAAACAATATGATATTTAAGACAACAACAAAAAAGAATAAATGAAATTGAAAGTCTTGTGTTTTGATAGAAGTTCTGGATATAGACTGGTCTCTGATTGTATATAGCGGCATAGTATAAACTGCCAACATAATAGAATAATCCAACGCTTTCCTGATAGTTGATACCCTGCGTAATTAAATGTGATAAAATAAAAATATATCAATGCTTCTTTGTCTGATAGCAAAAAAATTGAGAATTTGGCTATTAATTAAAGGTTCATATAAATTTAATTTGTTATGTATTCAAATATATACATAATGTTTGGACCAAACTTTAATGGATATTGCATTTTTCATGGCAATACCCACCCTATTAAAGTTAAAGCTGTAAAATATATAAAAATATATCAGGAAGTTGATAAAATCATCCTCAATGTTCCCATTTACAAGAGCTTGTATTTTATTCAATAAAACTTGATAACATTAAGTCAATATTTGTTGAATGTCCAGATAGAGAATACTTCAGTTTTTTCTTTAAATACAGGATTTATTTTCATCGAGTGGTATGAAGAAAAGTAAATATTTCACAAGTGGCAGTAGTTTTTAGCTCACCAGAACCGAAGGTTCAGGGTGAGCTATTAGTATCAAAGGGGGATACTCCGGCGTCCGTCGTCATGTGTCAACAATCATCTCCTTCTCTGAAACTGATGGGCGGATTTACCTAAAATTTGGTCTGAAGCATCCTTGTGACAGTCACAATTAAATTTGCACATGCCATTTCAATTGGCCCCTTTTAGGGATCAACAGAGCTAAAAATAGAAAAAAATTAAACATCTTATACTAAATTAAATGATGGATGATCACCAAAATTTGTCTTTAGCATTCTTAGGTAGTCTTGTATCAAATTTGCTCATTTTAATATGATTGGTCCCTTTTAGGGGTCTCTAGAGCTAAAAACAGAAAAATCTTTAGACATCTTCTTTTAACAAGTTTGCTCATATAAATTATATTGGCCCCTTTTAGGGGCTGCTAAAGCTAAAAATAGAAATACCTCTAAACATCGCCTTACACAGAACTAATTGATGGATGATCACCAAACTTTGTCTGTAGCATTCTTGGGTAATCTTTATCAAGTTAGCTCATATTAATTTGATTGGCCCCTTTTAGAGGCCACTAAAGCTAAAAATAGAAAAACCTTTGAACATGATCTTCTACTGAAATAATTGATGGATGATCACCAAACTTTGTCTGTAGCATTCTTAAGTAGTCTTTTATCAAGTTTGCTCATATTAATTTGATTGGACCCTTTTAGAGGCCACTAAAGCTAAAAATAGAAAAAAAACTTAAATCGTCTTTTTCAACAATAATTGATGGATAATCACCAAACTTTGTCTGTGGCATGCTTGGGTAGTCTTTTATATTAATTAAATGCCCTTTTTAGGGGCTGCTAAAGCTAAAAATAGAAATACCTTTAAACTTCTGCTTCTTCAGAACTAATTGATGGATGAACACCAAACTTTGTCTGTAGCATTCTTAGGTAGTCTTTTATCTTTTACTGAAAAGCAGTTGTTTCTGGTGAGCGACTCAGGGCCATCATTGCCCATTTGTTTATAACATGAGATGAAAATAAATCCTGTATTTATAAAAAAAAAAAGAAAAAAACTTCTGTTTATGTTTATTATGTTAATGTTTCTCAACATAACATTTATAAGTATATAGTAAATTTTGCTATCAGTTTATTGAATTGTGATTAACACTAAAAAAACACAGGCATTCACATTTTGGGGTTGTCAACACTCAAAAACTTAACACATAGGTTTTTTGTCTCAGTTTTTCTTTAAATAACACATTGGAACATGAATCATATAATTGGTTCAAAACTACGTACATGTATCAGGTTAAATCAGAGGAAAATCTTGTTAAGACTATAGAGACCACAGTTTTGATTGGATCTATTAAGCAGTGTAAGTATTTTATCCTTAATGATTTCTTTGACAAATTTGCACATGGGTCATGTGGGGTTAAAAAACTAGCTCATCAAGACAAATCAAAGAATACCTTGAGCTAATTTTGATTTGATTTATCAAACCTTGCCACAGTGTATAAGGGTATTAGGATTTTGATCAAATATTGAATATGGTGATAAAAGTTTGGTAAGAACCAGCTACATGACAGCATTCAGGCATTTAGATCCTGCCACTAAGATCTCTGAAATACTGTTACAAACTGCTACTATAATGAAATTTACAAGCAAACAAATTTGATACAACTGAGTATAATGATTTATTAACATGATAATTATTCGAAAATATTTGTACAAAATATACAGGAAAATCCCCAGATTGACAATGAAACTTAAAAACACAAAGATATAATTTGATACAACTACATTCTTAAATCTATTTACAAATATATGAAACCATCTCTGCTTAACAAGCTTAAAAGTATTTCTGTACATAAGATCATTTTTAGTTATCATCTTTGAAAAATACTCATGTCATCTGCAGTTGGAAAAATAACTAACACACAGCACCTAAGACATAATTATCTTTAATGATTTTGACATGTTCACCTTTGACCAGTGTATGATTGTCATTCAGTTGGATTTAAATTGCCTCTGGCAATATTCTTCACTGTCATTATTCTTTTGATAGCTTAATCCTAATAATATGGCTAATATCAGAATGAAATTTTTTTTAAAAAGTGCAAACAACTAAATGAATATTTGAAATTGCTCACAGAATCTTTAGCATGTCAGGTTTTTGGGATTTTAAAATTGATGTATTATTAATCTACAAAATCCAGTGTCCCAAGGACATCTGGCATATCAATTTATAAGTCCATCTTGTCCAAAAAGCACTCTCTGTATCATATTTCTCTTGCCATTTTTAACAGATGACTGGAAATAATGTGTTAGTACATTGCATAAATTCCAGGGCCTCTGTGACTGCCTACCATAATATCTGAAATTCCAAAATTAATGCGGGCAACTGTTGTACATGTGGTACTGATTTAAGAATGTTAACATATGTGTAAAATTACAAAATTGTCAAAGATTGATATGAACAGGTGAGTGTTTGTTTTGTAGACTTCAAAATCTTGTACTTAAACTTGTTGGACTACTGTTTGCAAATTGTTACTCTCTCCATGGCCATATCTACTTGCCAATGGAAGCAGATGTGTGGAATTTTCAACCCTAGTAATATTATCATGTTACTTTGTAAATTTGTATTTTTTTTGAAGTACCAATGTAAAGTTTGTTTTCTTTATCACAGTAGAATAAACATTTTTTAGGTGATGATAGAAAAAATTCAAACATGTTTCTGTTTTTATGTTCATCAGGAGACACTTGTCTTATCTCTTCATCATGTCCTGGAATAAAAATAGTTCCTGCTTTGTCTGTTGTGAAACTTACTGCTAACAGAGGTGAAAGGCCAAACAAGTCATGCATAAGTGAATTGTTCTTTAGATGAATGTCTAAAAGCTTCCTTGCAATTAATTTACCTTCCATAGAATGTTTTGATAAAATCAGTTCTACTCTATCATTACCTCTACTATATTCTGAAATGTATAATTCATCTTTATTTGGATGAAGTCTGATAATGGAATATTTCGTGACAGTTTGAATTGTAGCAATTGTGTTTATTACTCTACCATCTAGTCCAAACACCAGTACTTTTCTTTCACTACATACAATAAGGTTGGGTTTCTTGTATGCAATTCCAAAGCATTGGCCTTTAACAAAGATTTGTGAGCTTGTAGAAAGTTGGTTACCCAGTGTCACTAATATTAACTGGATCTTTTCAGCATTTGGCATTGTGACAGCTACAGTATTGTTTTCTACAAGGTTATATCAAATGGCTTATCTTCAAGTTGAAGTACTGCTATGGTCAATTCAGTATCAGTGTCTATCATTTTAATCAATGAGTTATCATAATCTGCAGTAATCAGGCGTGTGTCAGAGGTTTTACAAAGTCCAGTTAAATTGCTGTTACATTTGTCTGTGCTATGCTCCACACTTATTTCGTGAAAGTATGTTATGTTGCGCTTTATTTTTGACTTATCAGTCAAGGAGCCATAAATAACAGGAATATTTACTTTACTTATTTCTTCATCACTGGATTGAAACTCGTAGTAATTTATCCCAGGACATCGGCTTTCTTCTTCTACAATTGTTAACATTTTCTCCATTTTGTTCTCTGCTCCTTTAAGGGCAAGAAATATTTCACACTTTTGATTTGCTTGCATACTTTTACACAGGCTGTGTTTCATATTTTCAAGTTCGTATTTAGTTTTATAAACCTTTGAAGACAGTGCAGTTAGTTTCATTACATCTTTTTGCTTTCTATTTTCACTGTCTTCAACTAGTGAATTCTTTTTACTCTCTATCTTTTTAATTGTTATTGTTTTAACATCCTGAATCCTTTTTGTTTCGAGGTGATGCTTCATTATTAGCTGTCTTTTTTCTTTGTCCAACTCAGCAATAATAGATTGCCTCTTTCTTTCAAAAATTTCCTCTTCATTTTTATGTAACTTCTTTAGCTCAAGGACTTCTTTTTGATGGAGTTCTCCAATGCAGCTTTCAAGTTTTTTTCTCTGTTGTATTATTGATGATATGGCACTTTGACTGACTGCTTGAACTTCTGTCAATTTTGATGAAATTTCATCTCTTGAATTTGAATTAATTGCTAAGGTGTTGTCTATTGACTCTACCAAATTTCTTACGTCTTTGTTGAAATTAGCTGATCTCACAAGACTGGGAATGTGTGCTATGATGCACTTGTTATGTTTTTTTGCTTTACAAACAGTACATGCCTTTTGCTTGCATGAGTTGCAGTAAAACTTAATCAGCTCCCTTGGATGGTCTTGACATTTCTGGAAACAGAAATCTTGTGGCATGTGAGCTTTGTCCTGTATAGAATGTTCAGGCTTGTATGTCTTATGATATCTCAAACATGTAGAGCACAGATAATCCAAACAATTCTTACAAAATCCATCTGCAATTACTAAAGTCCCTAATTCTTTTTCACAATGTTCACAAAACATCTCCTGTATTACATCAGAGTCCTGTGTAAGAGAATCATTTTTACCATTATCAATTATATTGCCTGCTGCTGATGCCATTGTTGGATGTTCATATGATTAACATTGGTGTAATTTTAATAAAGTAAATTTAATTCAGACTGGAAAATTTTAATCACTTCATATTATCTTGCATATCATATGAGTGAGCTAAACCATGTGATTAAATAGAGTGTGTGGGGTGGGGTGGGGGTGTAAAGATAAGATTAATGATTTATGAGTCTGAAGTATGGATGTAGGGGGCTAAATAAATAGAATTTAGGATTTTAAACATTTTATTTCAAAACACTAGTACTAATAAATTATGTTTTACAGTGTTATATATTTGTTATGTTTCAACAAGTTCGAGTTTTTGCAAGACAGGTTGTTGAGAACAGGTTTTGAAATATCCTAGCATTCACACATACTATATATGAATACTTAATTGTAATTATTATGTCTCCCCCACCTCGGGGGGAGACATATTGTTTTTGCCCTGTCCGTCCGTCCGTCAGTCCGTCCGTCCGTCAGTCCGTCCGTCCATTCTTCGTTTCCGGACGATAACTAGAGTTCCTTTTGACCTACAGCTCTCAAACTTCATAGGATGAATGGTCTTATTGAGCAGATGATCCCTATTGTTTTTGGGGTCAGTAGTTCAAAGGTCAAGGTCACAGTGACCGTTGGTCAATTTCTCGTTTCCGGATGATAACTAGAGTTCCTTTTGACCTACAGCCCTCAAACTTCATAGGATGATTGGTCTTATAGAGCTGATGATCCCTATTGTTTTGGGGTCAGTAGGTCAAAGGTCAAGGTCACACTGACCGTTGGTCAATTTTCGTTTCCGGATGATAACTAAGAGTTCCTTTAGACCTACAGACCTCAAACTTCATAGGATGATTGGTCTTATTGAGCAGATGATCCCTATCGTTTTTGGGGTCAGTAGTTCAAAGGTCAAGGTCACAGTGACCGTTGGTCAATTTCTCGTTTCCGGATGATAACTAGAGTTTTCCTTTTGACCTACAGCCTTCAAACTTCATAGGATGATTGGTCTTATAGAGCAGATGATCCCTATTGTTTTTGGGGTCAGTAGGTCAAAGGTCAAGGTCACAGTGACCGTTGGTCAATTTCTCATTTCCGGATGATAACTAGAGTTCCTTTTGACCTACAAACCCTCAAACTTCATAGGATGATTGGTCCTTATTAATCAAATGATCCCTATTGTTTTAATGGTCAGTAGGTCAAAGGTCAAGGTCACAGCGACCGTTGGTTAATTTCTCCTTTCCGGATGATAACTAGAGTTCCTTTAGACCTACAACCCTCAAACTTCATAGGATGATTGGTCTGATTGAATAACCAGGATTTTCAAAATTGAATACCTGGTTAAAAACAAACAGTTTAGGAAGCATCTTCTCATACAACCTTAACAATAGAAACCATCCATAGACAGCCTTCATTGAAGTGACTACCGGGTATTTACATTATCTTATCTCCATTTCCATTCCTGTTTCCATTCACAGTTATTCTCAGCAGTGGGGGAGACATGCGCTTTTTTACAAAAGCATCCTCTAGTTTGATTTTTTTTTTCAACATATATATTCAAAACTTCAGGTCATAAATATGCAGTTTGACTAACCTTTTTACAAGAGAAACATCACTTGAAAATAAATTTTCAATACAAAAGAAATGTTTTGAATCATTGAATAAAAAAAATCCAGTCAATAGTTATTGATAAAATTGCTACATATTTTGTAAAATTTTAAGACTCTTAATATTGTCATACTGTCATGGTTGTCTTTTAGATATTTCACACTTGAATTTCAAAGCTTAATGTGATCTGTTATAGGGTATATTTTGTATCCGTTTTAACCTTTTTCATAGATGAAGGGATTTTGAAATTAATTGGCACACGGCACAAATAATCATAGTAACAAGACGATATGTCATGCGCAAAATCTGGACACCTACCTCCAAGGCCAAGATCACGATTAGAGGTCCAAGCTTTACATGGTCTGTTAAAGGGTATTTTTGTGTTCTGTCCTTAATATTTTCATCTTTCAAGGGATTTTGAAATTACTTGTCACAAATGTTCACAAGATGAGCTTTTTGTGATCACAATTTTTCCATCATCAATTGGCAAATAAGACTATTGTATAAACTATATATGTATTTTCTTTCCTTATAGAGGTATCAAATAGTGAGAAGACAAGCTATAGGGAGGAGACATCTATGGTGACAGTATTAAATGCTGACAGTATTTACTCTACCTCATATTCTGCTCTCAGTCTCACTTTAAACCTCAAAGTGAAGGGTTACTATGACAACAAAGAAGCAACACTTATACCAGTGTCAGAGGTTTATATATATAATTTGTTATAGATATTGAATCAGAAAAATGTATGTTATCTTCTAAACAACAGCTTAGGAGTATAGGCAATCTTTATACACCAACTAATATACTATAGTTTATAAAATATACAAATCAGGTAAACTATTAAAATGTTTTAAACTAGCAAACATAATTAGCAGTGCGTAAACATGATAATCAGTGATCATACACTGTATTCAAGTCTAATTATTAAATGTTATAACAGGGATTTTCGTTTTTGGATTATTTTATAGCTGATATTCAGTCATATTCCCGATTGAAAATAGTATATTATTTTCCCAATCCACAGGAAAAAATTCCCAATTGAAAGTTACTGAACCAAAATATTGTGTAAAATATTCCAAAACCTTGAAAATAAGGGCTTGTTCACTATTATAGATCTTAAATGTTTGAATATGCCATCCTAGACAGTGATTGTAGGCATTCATTTAATCACTGCAAAATTTCAGTCATGCATTGTTTCTAAATTTTTAACAAAACATCACTGAAATTCCCACTTCCATGAGTATGGGTCAATAATGTTCCCAAAATCCTGGAAAAAATTCTGGATTATAATGGTGGTTCAGTTAACTTAAATTGGTGATAAAACTAATTATTACCTGATCCCTTATATAAATGTCATTTGGTATTTTTTACTGTTTTCTGAAATTCCTAAAACGTCCATGTCCGCGAACTGTTGATGGTCAATAGTTTCGACTGTTTCCCTCGCATGCTCTGGCGTCATAGAGGATTCCCCCTTGGAGCACAATAAACCAGACGTGACGTGTCATAGTTAAAAGATTGTTGAATTCGGAAAGTTAAATTATTAACATATTTGAAGAAAACTATATTTTCTTGTTACTTTTTTCTTCTGCAATAACTGTTAAAACAGTAATTGATCAGGTAATAAAACAGTTATTTCATATGTGATTTGGGAACAGTCAACCAGTTGTCCCTCTGTGTCGGGTAAAGTGTTTTGAACTGTTGCCTATGACCTTGGGCAACAGTTCAAAAACCTATCCCTCCACCTTGGGCCAACAGTTTGACTGTTCCCAAATGACATATAAAATAACTGTATTTGATTGTTCAGAGCTTATGAATCTGGCAATTCCTTTTAAGTGCATACATCTTTCTTGTCAACAATATATGATTATTCAACACAGGGGATTATTACAAAATTTCATACACTTAATGTTAAAATTTTGAAAATTTATCACCAAATTTATACAACATATTAAAACAACACAGTTTTGCATATGTTAAATCCAGAACAATAAAAAATCCATGTTAATTGTATTAGGATATTTTATATAGAGAATACCATGCTGGTATCAGATATTACAAAATTTATCAGGCAAGGCTTATAATATCAGACACTTGTTTGGTATTCTGCTTATTTTGTTATGCTCCCCGAAAAAAATTCGGGGGAGCATATAGTCGCCGGGTTGTCCGTCCGTCAGTCAGTCCATCTGGACGTACGTCCCAAATTCGTGTCTGGCCCATAACTTCTTTATTTGAAGTCTGATTTTACAACTATTTCACAGAAATGATCACCATATTGAGACGACGTGTCGCGCACAACATTTGGATCGCTACCTTGAAGGTTAAGGTCACAGTATGACCTTGCAGCAAGATCATGTCCGGCCCATAACTTCGTTATTTGAAGTCGGATTTTACAACTATTTCACATAAATGATCACCATACTAAGACAACGTGTCGGGCGCAAGTCGGTAGATAGATCTCATTGAGTAGAAGTGCAGTGCAAAGAACAGTAACTCTGCCTTGCCTAAGTTTGGAATTATCACACTTTGGACTTTGTCTGGGACATAACTCTGAAACTACAAAAGATATACTTTTCTGTGTCCAAAACCTAGTAGGGGAGCATCACCTGGTTCAACCGGCTCTTGTTTTTAAGCTAGATATAGGTTGTTTTTTTTTAACTTGAAATGAAACAAAAACCTGCCAAGAAACTCTTGAGTTCACGCCGCACACAGTAATATGCTACGTATCATATCGATAAGAAATAGTCCTGAATGTTTTGAATCAAATTAAAGAGATACTTTAATGTTTAAATGGCTACCGGTAATTGATTCAAAGTTTCAGATTAATATTTTTAAACTTGCAAGTGGGAAAAATATTTCATTCTCTTCATTTTATTTCAGTATGTATTGATGAGGTGTCTGATACAGCTGATTGTGGCTGCTAAAGTTTAATAGTCATGCACTTTATTAGCAGAAATCAAAGTAATGACATGATAAAACTTACATAACTCCTTTCTGCTACTATTATTATTATAATCTGTCTTGTTATTATATTACAGCGTGAGTTTATAGACAGTGTATTAGACACAGATATGTTCCTGTATCTATCCCCGGACTGGCTATCTACTGTATATAAGAATGTCCTTGACACTGATTATATTAGAACAGGCCGGCTGGAACCGGGAATAAATAAAACTTTAAAAGGTA